AGACTGTCCTCAACGAGCGGCTCTGCAATTTGCTGCTCGCCTTCCTGCGTGTTGAGCGCAGCCAGTTCTTTGAACCGTTGCATGCAACAAAACTCTCCTCAACGAGCGGCTCTGCGATTTGCCCCTCGCCCTCCTGCGTGTTGCGCGCAGCCGTGAGCAAACTGAGAGGTTTACCGCCAGAATGCAACACCACTCACACTAACGCCCTCAGCACACCAACACACACAGACACACACACACACACTCTACAATACACAGCCACACAGACAGACACACCAACTCGTCGACACAAACACGCACGAAAAACAACAACAACAACAACAACAACAACAACAACAACAACAACAACAACAACAACAACAACAACAACAACAACAACAACAACAACAACAACAACAACAACAACAACAACAACAACAACAACAACAACAACAACAACAACAACAACAACAACAACAACAACAACAACAACAACAACAACAACAACAACAACAACAACAACAACAACAACAACAACAACAACAACAACAACAACAACAACAACAACAACAACAACAACAACAACAACAACAACAACAACAACAACAACAACAACAACAACAACAACAACAACAACAACAACAACAACAACAACAACAACAACAACAACAACAACAACAACAACAACAACAACAACAACAACAACAACAACAACAACAACAACAACAACAACAACAACAACAACAACAACAACAACAACAACAACAACAACAACAACAACAACAACAACAACAACAACAACAACAACAACAACAACAACAACAACAACAACAACAACAACAACAACAACAACAACAACAACAACAACAACAACAACAACAACAACAACAACAACAACAACAACAACAACAAACAACAACAAACAACAAACAACAACAACAACAACAACAACAACAACAACAACAACAACAACAACAACAACAACAACAACAACAACAACAACAACAACAACAACAACAACAACAACAACAACAATACAACAACAACAACAACAACAACAACAACAACAACAACAACAACAACAACAACAACAACAACAACAACAACAACAACAACAACAACAACAACAACAACAACAACAACACACGGCAACACGCACACAGCCACACACACACACACAACAAACACGCACAGTGGACACACACGTGCACAAACAAACACAAACACACACACAACACGCGCAACACACACACACACAACACACACACACACAATACGCGAACACGGGCACAATTCATACGCAACCCACACACACACACGCCGCGGACACACAGAAACCGACACACAGAAACCGCGACACAAAAACAAAAGCAGACCAGGAGAGGTTGCTTGCACCTTTGTTAGAAGCATTTTGACGAACCCCGTGGCCAGGGTCCTCGTCCTCTTGGGCCTCGTTGCGCATCATGCCCAGCACCTCCGCAAGGCCGGAGTGTGGGGTGTGCATGTTCCATGGTTGGCAGGGCGTCCTCCTGATCTGCAAGATTGCATTCATCATCAGATACGCAAATCGGTTCCTTGCCGGGTGCAACTAGCGCTTAAATTTCAAAAACTGTTTGACTCAAGTGAAGGCGCTGGGATGTTGACTTCGGGAGTGCCAGTCATCGCTTCCTGCAGAAAGGGGCGCACACAAACTCGATAGGTGGCGTGATAAGCAAGGCCAGGAGTCCTCCGTAGGGAAGTTCACATTTGCTTGCGATGGGTCAACCAAACATTGACTGTCTTCGTTTGGGTCCAGCACCAACCGATCATCGAAGGCCTGGGCGGCGGGGGAGACCATCGCATTATACATGGCTTTGGCAATCTGGGCTTGGAACAGATTGTTGGTTGAGCTGAGGCTCATCCAAGTTCAAAGTGCTGCGCCCACGCCTTATCGCAGGGTCACACGCCGTTGGAACCACCGTCGTTGAAGCGCATGTAGGATTGACTCGGCCCAGGCAAGCAGGCAAGCAGTCGCCATCAAAGTGTGGCCAACAAAGGTCCGCGACCGCAAAGGTCATTTCAGCAAAGGGTGCTGCTTTTTTCGTGGTGCTTTCACTGAAATCATGAAAACAGCTGTTGAAATGACCATTGCTGTCACTGACTGACTTCCATTGCATGCATAGCTAAGCAAACCACCCTGTAGGGTCGCTTTGGAAGGGCGAGGGATATGTCCTGCGTCCACTCATCACACCCATTCAGAAACAGGTCGGAAAAGAACGCGCCTGTTGCAGGCGTGGCGTCGGACGCGCTGGCGGCCGAGGACCCACCTGCGGCGCAGGGAATGGGGTCTTGTGATCAAACATATACTGATCCGATCAACCCCCCATCAACCCCCCAGGAAGGGCTTGCCTTATCCGAAAAAAAGAAAAGGGCGGGCCTTCGAGCATGGTAGGGCGAGCGGACGATGAAGGCACTGGGCGGGAGGCCACACACGAGCTAGAGCCAATTTCGCATGCGGGCTCATCATCCTCTTCGCCATCTGAAATGGCGATTGCGTCCATGCTGTCCTCAGGAGCCTTTTTACCGGGCCTTGAAGGCCGGGAACGCCGGGGATTTGGTTTCATCACGGCCATCAACTGGGCGGCCACCTCAACTATAGGGTTGTATGAATCAAGAGCAAGCTGATATCAACCCGAATGGAGGGCATGTGGATGTGACAAGGTGCTGGGTGTGAGCTGCCTCTCTCAATCGCTTTGCGCCAGTATTTGCGCGCGTATGATAGAAGCCCAGCAAGTACATACGCTTCCTGCTCTCATGGCATCAAAAATTTAAGCATAATCAAACACCTTGCATGCAAGGAAACAGAGGCTATAGTGCAGCCATGACTCGTCCCTTGACCAATTTTTTCTATCTTTTTGATAGCGTGAGCCACTGAGACTCCAACTACCTTCACGATCAAGGTCTGCAAACACCAGCTGTAGCTCTAAAATTGAAAACTCCCCTTAGTCCAAAGCAGTGGACACAACCAGCCATGTGCGAAGAATGACTTCAACATGCATCCGAGGTACCCACTGGTGACAAATCATACAGCGCCAAGATCAAGGGCAAATAGGTCTCTAACGCATTGTACCCGATTCTGTTGATGCTGATGTCTGGAAACAGTGTCTTGTTGCCTTTTCCGGCCCCAGAGCAAGAGGTGAAAGAACTTGCCGGCAGATGCACTTTGAGTGCGCCTTACTCACTGCATGCCACATGTGTAAACGTGGTTCGTGTGTGGTATAGACAAGGGGCGCTTGATCTCCTCACGCTGCCCATCAACCACTCCCATTGTTGTGAAGCAACGTTTTTTGCATGCTCGAGCCCTGCAAGCTGCGCCAACTCTGTGTGGCAGTTGCCAACCCGACCACACGCCCCCCCCTCCACAATGTCCTCGTAAGCACCGGCCGCGAGGCATCTGCTGCTAGCAGATGATCATGCCGAGAAATGCGTGAAAAGCCCATGCTTTGCCGCCATCCATGGCCGATCGGTGGGATGTGGGATGAGCCTTCGAAATAAGTGAATCCTGTTTTGATCCCATTGGTTGCAACCTGATTCCTCGAATAGAGTATGCACCAGATGCATCGAACATCATCGAACCACTTATTTATGGAGTTGAATATTCGGGGTGTCGGGGTGTCGGGGCGTCAGCACTGTGTCCCCCACACCCCCGGTCTCTCCCAGGCACAGTATTTGGCCCCAGGATCTCCAATGCAAGCCCCAGGATGTCCAATGCACACCCCAAAGATTCTTAGGGCAACAGGAAAACCACCAACCACGTGGGGGGACGGGGGGCCCGCAAAAAAAAAGAAGCACCCAGCTTCCCGAGCCCCGAACGCTGAACTGGGGTTGTCAACTTGGAACTACTGGCAACGCGGAACACGAACAGGGGATCCACCAACAGGAGTTCTTTTTCAAAGGTGAACTCGTGTGAACATGCAGGGGAGTACGAGCAGAGTTGGGGCTTGTGGCGCTACATTTGCGCCCAGCCATTTTGCTGCTGAGCAAGCTCATATCCTCGTGCCTACGCACAACTTGAGCGCGCCAAGCAGCGGATCAATCATCATGCACGTGTTGATTGAAAACACATTGGCACACGGTGCAAGCAAAGGCGGGGCGGCGCGCAACCCCACACTCATACTCTTCCAGCACACGGGCGGCCAAGGCAGATCACATCTTAAACCACGCATACTTTTCGAAGCCTGGCCTCGTTTAAGAACATACTTAGTAAGGCCGAAGGCCTGCCTTCGTAAAACCTAAGGCCTTACATTTCGGGCCTAGTGCCTTTAAAAGTGGGCCTCCCCGCCACAAAAGGGCCTAGGCCTCACTAAGAGAGGCCTAGGACGTTCAGGGAATAGTCTAACCCTCTACTGGTGACTAAATATGGTTTTAAGATACCAAACAAATCCAATCTAGACAAATCAGTACATGGAGTCTCCTCTGGCCCGAATCAAAAAACGGGGCCAACTTAAATTAAGGAGTCATCACCCATGTCTGATTCGGGTCAGAAGACTCCAGGTGCCCCTCGGAAAGCCAACATGGAACCTGAACGGAGGCTCTTTGTTTTCTTTTTGCTTCTTCTTCTTCTTCTTTTCCGGAGATCCTATGTTTGTTTGTGGAAGGTTCTGCTCCGTCACTCTTGTTTGGAAGAACATACAAGTGACAAGGACGTGCCATGTCATCCGCTGCTACAGGAACTTCCGGAGTGTTGTTGTTTGGTGTACATACATATGGCTTTTCGAGGTACCACTTTTGTGTGACTCTTGAAGGGCCACCGTGAAGAAACCGGAAGCACTTTTGGGGGCTCTCCTGAAAAGACGCACCCATATTGTGGATGGACAAAATCCTGCACCAGTTGGTTCATCCATCCTAGGTGCAGGATGCGAGTCCATCTACATGGCCATGGGTCAAAAGCCCCGTACCCAAAATGGTACCATTGGTTTTGACCCACAGCCACATAAAAACTGGTTGAAACCAAACCGACTCCGGACTTTCAGGGCCCCGACATCCCGGCGCCGCCCGCTCGTCGCCATCAGCTTCGTGGCGATGCCCAGTAGCATGGCGCGCCGCGCCGCCTGATCCGTGAGTGACGCACGGGAGTTGTTTGAAAAACCTAGTTTTTCATGGCAAATACATCTGTTTGTTGGTGAAGGGTTGACATTGTATCTTTCAAAAGCGGAAATTCGGAGTGGGGGGAGTTTCCTTCTGACCAATTCTGTGGATGGACAGAATCCAATTCGTATTAATAAATAGGCACAAATAAAACCCTGCCAACTGGTGCAGGATCTTGTCCACACACAGGCCCTAGATTGTTCAAAAGTTATATAGATAAACAATGTCTATATATATATACATGATGAAATGGGTTTGCCATGACATTGTTCGCTTTGGCGATGACCCCTTTTTGAAAGGGTCGGAAGGAGACTCCAGGAAATTTTAAAGCAAATACTCGACCAGAGAGATATGACATGGTATTTAGAGTACTCGACTTAGTACAGCCGTCTTTAATTCAGGAACGGCCCGGAAAGTAGAGTTCCACCATATTTGCATGCTTTCATGGTCTGGGACTGAGCACAATTCGCTGTACCTCCAGTCAACAATTCAAAATAATCCCATAACCCCCTTGCAAACCCGTGTCAATATCACCCAGACCTACTTGGATGACCACAACTAGTGGCTAACATCTCCTGTCCATAAGTCCAGCGGGACTTACCCTATAATCTACAAGCCGCTTGAGGAAGCCATTCAGTGAGTGGGGATAGCAACGACACACTAAGTTGGTCAACAAAGTTGTATAAGGATATGATGGATTGGCTCTCAAAAATGCAAAATGGAGGAGGCGGTATCCCTTTCAACCTCCATTTGGAGATTTGGAGGGTCATTTTGAGGATTTCCCTATTTTGAACCCATACCTTATGCTGTTTGGGTACGATGTCAATGTTTTTAAACCAAACAGTAGGTATAGCGCAAGCACTGAGTAACAATTTACTGGAATTGGAGTTGAGGGCTGACGCAACAAGCTGCAATTGCTAAGGACTTGAGCCCATGGATTTGCTGGACGCGATTTCTCATAGCACTCGAGCTGTTGGGGATTGATTTGGCGCTTGGCAGAATTTCCCTCCAACGACCCGCCGGAAGCTGGGGTTGGTGAGTTGAATTGAATCACTGTGGGTGCGGTCCAACCTTTTTGTGGGCTACCCGATTTGTCGGTCCAGTTTTCTAACAAAGACTCATAAGGGTTCTGTCAAAACAAAGCGAAACACCTTGAGTTCTCCCAGATTTAAAAAAAAAAAACCTGGAGGCAACGAGAACGTGCTTATCTACTATTATGCAGCCGCAGTATCTGGAGGCTTGGTGCGAGACCATATCTTCCCCAGGTGACCCCCGTTCCGCGTATCCTAAGCTGATCCCAGTTCTGAGTGCACCCTTTGGGAAACTTCAAGCCACGAGTCGAGAATTCACTCGTGCGCCGCATCTCTCGCAACGAGTTGGCTAGCGCACTTGCCCAAAGGACTCTAAAAGGGTGCCCACCTTGTGGGACCTTCACTAAAAGTGGGAATCCCAAAAGGGAAAGTGAAAAGGTTGGCTCGGATTTCAACTGAGCTGATAGGGGATGGTCTCATGGGGATCCTTCGCCGGCCATCCGTCCGCGCCGACGGCACTGGGAAACCAGTACAGTTGGACTGGCCCCAGGAAATGCAAAGAAAGACGTTCACCAATGTTCTACCCAGTGCTGGTCATAGCATGTCATAGCCTTCGAGGAACTCAGACAGGTGTCTTTAAAACTCCGAGACATTTCGAAGACTCAAAACAGGCAACCAAGCAATGCTCTACCCAGTGATTCCGGTTTATTAGCCACCCTTTACTAACAAAGAGGCGCAAGTGTGGTTGCCTACTATTTAGGCAACTGGCCACTGGGCTAAACAAAAAAGGCTGCAAGGCTCATGACTCGTGGCCATCGTAATTGCCTCTCTTCGAGGTTTGAGCCAACTTTCTGTTGCAGGTTGAAATACCAGTTGTCTAAACAGCCTCCTTTCGGGTTCCTTTTAACGGGGGCCAGGGTTCGCCTTTTCAACTCATGGGTATGCATCTTATTTGAGGACCTTTGGTGGACATCATCTATTTGGGGATTCATGTCCGACAACCACTGTTCGTCTGGCGCCGTTTCCTTTCAAAAGAAGCTGCTTTCATTTGCGCAAGCCCCGGGAAAGAATATGCCATCCCCAACAGCAATTCCCTGTGCACCCTTCCGGAACCCTTCCGGAACCCCAGCACAAACCCGCGCCAAACCCCTCCAGAACCTATCTCTTCAAAGACAGCAAAGCTTTCATATTCAAGTAGTGATAGATTCCCTTTAGAGCCAACAGGGGAAATTAGCAAATACTCGTCAGCAGCAAATGGAAGCGTGACATCATATCCACACGTTGCCCCCAGCCCCGCCCCCCCCCTGGCCCCGCCAGTTCCGCTGTGTGGCTGCTGCCGCCGGTGCGATTGCGGCTTCGGCCCAAGGCTTCGGCCACGTTGGCGAAGAACGCGCCTGCCGCTTTTGGGGTTCGGCGTTCAAGGGAGGAACTAAGTGCGTACTAAGGAAAACCATATTTTTCAGCTGACCAATTGGGGGTAGACCTTCTAGACTGCATTTTAGATGCTGCAACTGTGGATTGCAGGCAGCAATTGTGGCACTTTTTTGGCACTTTGGAACTTTTCGAAAGGAAGCAACAGGTTGAGCATCGAACATAAACGTAACTTGTCCCTAAGGGTTCTTTGAGAAACTGAACCAATCTCATCTCATGAACATAAAAATGCGGGAACAGCCTTGATAAACCCTGACCTTCTTTAAACAAAGGCACTCCAAAGTGTCGAAATCGACCAGTTTGACCCCGCAAAAAGGGTCAATGCATGACGGGGACTTCCTTGAAATCACAGAAAATGGAAACTTAAGCCCCCGGAACTTTCTATAGCCTTGGTCTCCACAAAGTCATCCGGTACCCGTCGCCTCCATGTCATGTTCCGTCCAACCGCTGGGTGTTTTCAGGGGAACAACGGCCCTCCCCAACCCCTCATGTCGATACGGTTGATGCCTTGAAACATGCAAGCAGGGAACAAAGAACGCCCTGCAAATACCTCAGTCTGCCCGTTTGTTGGATGGATGTAATTGGTTCCCTTACAATATGGAGACATCTACCGTACCTACTTGCGCGCCTCTCTTGTGGGATTGTGAGTTCGATTTGTTTTTTGGGGCCCAGATTGAAACCAAAAGGAAATTGAAGGCCATGGTTAGATCCTCATATTCGACACGCATGCCTGTCCAAGGCAGAAAACTCTCAAGGTTTGGAAAGAGGCAATTGAGTCATACTCAACACCTATCATTCAAATTGTCTACTCAAAGCCAAGTGCAAAGAATAAAGTGGTGGCCACGCCCATTTATGGCTGGGACTGACCCTGACTAAGCTTCACTTGTCTGGGTGTTAATTGTGACTCAATCAAAGATCCCGAGTTGTTTTCCAGCTTTGCTGCCACGTGCGACCTTCCTCAACAAGATCATGCAATCCAGAAACGCTTCATTTGGATCACTCCAGAACCAGCACCTGCTGCATTCGGTTGTTCTTGTCGCCTTTCAGCTTTTAGTCAGGTCCTGACTGTTCTGGTGTTGACTGAGAAGCTCACCAGGGCTTCTTCACGACTGGACTTCCTAATGAGCGGCTACTTGAAAGTTGGGAGTGAGCATCACCAACAAAGCAAGTCGCACCTTTGAGCAACCAAGCCGGTTGGCTAGGTCTTCTGTCTTCAAAGCGCAGCACATGTTTCGCGTCCTGTTCCATTGAAGATAGTCTTCCCCGGCGTCCAATAATCTAAGACTGGTTGGGTTCTAGTCTTTTCAAGACTGCCCGAACAACTCGAAAGGATTGATTGCCTTCTTAGGCTTCCCGAGGTTGGACTGGTTTCTTCTGAATTTGATGTTTGAAGCCCCCGCGAGCAAAACGAAAGCAACAAACTGGAACTCATAAAACTGCTCTAACCACTTCCCAATCACACCGTTTGATCAATTTCAATCTTCCCCAAGGGGGGGTGGTGCTTGGAAGCTCACCCGAAGGGGAGGAGGAACAACGCAAATACCAAACAACACGTGAAAACCGACAAACAACTAAATACGACAGAGTCTAGCAAGCACTGCAACCCAACAAATTACCAAACAAAGGAACAAAATCGTGACAAACAAACACGACGTCAATAATGTCATTCTTCTTTCAGGCAAATTTTGATTGTTCTTGGCGTCCCAATGAAAAAGCACCAACTTGCCCCCAAAAGACGGCCGGACAAGAGGCGACTGTGAAGACTGGGCATACAGAGCCCCCCAGCAAAACAACCCGCATCATGTTCTAACTTGCAGAGATGAGCCACGGTCAACATGAAACAGATGCTTTTTGGAGGACATTCTGGAAATTTAGAGCTCGTTTGGCCCATGTCCCGAACCCAAATGGACCAATAACAAATAAAACCTAAAAGGCTTTTTGAAAATCACCCCAAACACACAAATCACAACTGTTCGTTTGACAAAATTGGTCAGCTAAGAAGTCACAAAGCCCCACTCGAATGAGTTTGAGGCCACGTTTTGCAGTTGCTCGCCTTCACACCGAGTCAGAATTTGCGTAGGGTTTGTCTTCTGGGGGCCTTTCCCCACAAAATCAGAGGTGTGCCTTTGATTTTCTGGCAACAATCAAAAGCACAGTACCTGGGGCCTTCAAACTTGGGGTCATGACCTATTTGATTTGGGCAATGACGCGGTTTTTTAAGGGGTCACAAGGAGACTCCAGGTGGGGCTTTCCGGATTCGAATCGATCCTGCGAGCATCCAGGTTCGTGAGGGCCAGGCTGACACTCGGATGGCCTCGGTTTGTTACCAGGTTGCTAGGGCTTCCCTCAGTCCCTGCAAGCAAATCGGGATGAAAAGTTGAACGAGTGTGTTTTTGTTTCGGGGACCCCAACAAATTGCCAAAAAGGGCACCCTCAAAAAATACAGACCCGCCCTCTTTACGGGGAGGGGGGAGGGGTGTCCAGCACACAATTCCATTCTCCCTTCCCTATAAACGGGAACAAGCAACTATAAAGGGGGGTCACTCCGTGCCGGAATTCCGTTTTTAAGGGGGTGGGGATTATGGGTGCTTTTTAGGAGAAACCCGTTTTTGGCTGGTGTTTAAACGAAAATCGAACGTTAAACCCGCCTTTTTTTGGGGGGTACCAACATTTTGAGACCCCAAATCGGGCAATGGAGTACCCGCGTCCCTCAACATGGGTGGTTTGGAGGTCTTTGCGGGGTGGAGCCCCAAGCCACTAGTCCAAACCACCAACTCAACCAAGGGGTGACCTTTAATCGATCCAGGCCACATAACTGAAGAAATCCCCCCAACGGTCAGGGTCAGGGTATTCCTTCTGAAATCTTTTGGGCCTTACCTTGGAGGAAACCGGAATCACTTCTAGTCTAACGACAATCTTGGGAAGTCAGCCACGCGACCTCCCAGGATTGGAGCATGCTTCTTGGACCCAGCCTTCAATGCAGGGCACGCCAAATAGATTGGGTAACCGCGAAGGGATATCATCATGTTCCCTGATTCGGGGCTGAATATGCCTGTCAAAGGCAAGTCTGAAACCAGCACAGCCACCAGCACCTTTTCAACCAAACACCCAGCCGGTCTGTGCATGCAGGCTGCTCTTTGGGGGTACCTGTTTGTTGGATGTTTTGGAAGGCACATTTTTTGGGGTCGTGCTTTGCTTTGGCCCGAGAGAAAGCAACTGCTGTTGGCCCCCTGCGCGGTAAGTGGTCCGCTGAGAATGATCCACTCGGGTTCTTGATTTCTACCTGAAGTCTCCATGAGCCCTTAAAAGTGGGCTCATTACCCAAAAGCACGGGGTCATGTCCCAACTTTCAAGGGTCATGGGGACTCCATAGTGTGTTTTCGTGGTTTGAGTGGTCGCTGATCAAATCCTGTAAGGACAACTCAAGGGGGAAGGTATGGCAAGTGGGACCCCTTGTCGGTGTTGAAAGCAGAGTTGTCCTCTTACCACCGAGTATTGGAATGTTTGGAAATACGCCCACAAGTGGAGCTCTGGAGAGTGGAATATTGGCTTGGACTGGTGGCAAATTTTATTGCTGGCTGTCAGTGTGTCTACGGAGGCAAATGTCGAGCGACTGTAACTGTAAGGTTCTCAGAGTGGGGAGCAGGTGGAGGCCTTCCCATTGTTTGGTGGATTCTAGCCAGGAAACCAAAAGAGAAAACCGAAGCCAGGGCAGCGCCCATTTGAAGGCTCACTTCCCAAGACCTACAAGGAGGCACCTTTTTGGACCCACCGGTCACCAGGTCGACCGATTTGGTGACCCAGGGGGGAACACATGAACTCACGATTCCACGTTGAAACACCTTGGCGAACATCAAATCGTTTTTTTCATGCCCAACAAGCTCCCAACGAAAGTTCATGCACATCTGCGTGTATTTGGTGGTTTGGATGCGTTGGGTTTGGAATGCCGCTTTGGATATCTTCCTTTTTGGTCGCTCCACCCTGCACCCTGCTGTCCCGCACCCCGCACCTCCTGCAGCTTGGCGATCATCTCATCCTGACAAATCTGTCGGGCGCTTTCGCCCATCGCAGTGAACATTTGCAGAGCCCCGCGTTTGCCACACACCCAAAAAGGGGGTCTATTACCAACTGAGGGTGTTTATCTTCGGTTCCATGCCAATCTGATGAACCCCCCAAAACCAGATGCGGGGTGTTGGGCTCAATGTGGCCTTTAAAGGCCACTGTTCCGTAAAGGATACACTCCCAAAACCCACCTGCGTTTCCTTGGGAATGCTCCCCAATGCGAGCTTTCTCTGCTTTTTTTGTTGAGCCCCAGGTACCCTATTTTTGAGGGGCACTGAAGACCTCTCGTGTTTAGCCTCAGCTTGGACCTCAGTTTCTTAGGAAAACCCATAGGGAACAATCCTGAGAGGCTGGCCGGGGGGGTTGTGGCGGCGACGGACCCCCCCAATGAGCTTGACTCTGGGTATCCAAAGTCAAAAGGAGGGTGTTTCAACACTCCAAGGACTCCTTTTGGTGTGTTCTGTTTGTCAGAAAATCAAAGGGACACCACGGATTTTGGGGGAAAGGCCCTCAAACAACAACCCCCTCACTCGGTCATCGTCCCTTGGCTTTATTTCGGGCGCAAAACCGGACCGAATCGATTGATCGAGTCCCGAGTCCGCCTCTGGCTCGCTTACCTCTCGTACCACACCGGTCAGGCGCTCGTCTGCCTCCACAGCCTCCAGCAAATTGGAGTCGCGGGATCGGACCAACAAATCAAACATTGGCTGTCATGGTTGACCCCTTCTTTTGGATAACCCAATGTTTGATTCGGGTCAGATCTGTCAAACCAAACAACGCGCCAGCTACCCTCAGGCCATGGTTTCTGTTGCTGAGCGGCATTTGATCACCAAAAAGGGATAAGCCCCTGGTTTGACTCGAGTGTCCAGAACATGCTCCCGGTTTGTTTCCCAGCAAACTCATCTCGACTCGGCAACAAAAAGGTGATGTTTGAAACCACGCTTGAGGACATAAAGGAAGCCCTGCTCGTTCCAGCCTGTGCGATCCCTGAGCCCAAATAAAAGGGTCCTGTTGCCGAACATCATTTCTGCCCCAAGAGGATACTGGCAACTTGGGTTGTCCCCAGGATTTTGCTGGAAAATTGTTTTTCCTCCCTTCTCGTCCTCCCCAAACCGACAGGAGGCAAGATTGTCAGTGGCTTCTGCTTTGGGTTTTCCCTGTAATGACCAACCCAGACTTCCTTTGAAAGCCATCGCTGTGCACAAATGCATGGGCCACCGGACATGGTTCCAATGCACATGGAGGTGCTCGTCCTCACGAAAAATGTGACTGCAAGACCTGCGTCTTGGGCGAGCTGGGGGATTGTAACCCTCCTGAGGGGTTTGCAGTTCTACAACCCCATAGCCAACACCCAAGTTTGAACCATTTCAGGGGATTCACCAGCCCTCATAGGCAAAATCCCAAGCTCCTCTACGGATCATGACTTAATTCAGGTTTAAAGCACTATTGTTGGAGTGCTTATTTGTTTTTGACCCTTGCAATCAGTACCCAATGTTGGCATATGTTTACGCAACCATCTGCACTAACAACCATTATCTGAATTTTGCATGGAAACCTCCTGTGGATTCCCTGCGAAGAAGATTTGCCGAAGAGAACCTCTGGCGGCAACAAGTATCATCTTTGCGAATATTGACAGGTAGGGCCCCTACCACCCCCTACCACCCCAAAGGTTGGGTGGAAATGAGGCCTTCTTCCAGAGAAGGCTTTGTGGGTCGGCAGGGCCCCTGATTCACAAATAGAGCCTTTACCCAAATGAGTCACTGGCCATGCCCAGCATTAAAAGAATGTCGCTGTCAGGATTGAGACATGCCTTTAAACCATCGCTGCAAAGGTCTTTCCGGTGACTTAGGAGAAGGGCGCCTTTGCAACCAGAGTTGCCACAACTTGCCGCCCAACAAGGCAACTTGTCTCAACTTGGGCACTCATCAGCAACTCTTCGTTGATTGATGCTTGAAGAAAAACCGACTCCGCGAGGAAACAACACGTTTGGTGTCATGAGACGTACCCAAAATAAACACCGGTCGTCCTTGTCTCAGGCGCAATTTTCATCTGAGGCCCGAAAGTGCCAACGACTGCCACTTGTGCGCCTTTGAGGTATCTTGAAATCCCCTTGGATGATATGGGGGTAAATGTCACTGAGGGGCCCTGTGGTGGTCCCACCTCTCAAAATGTCGAAGCCACATGAAGGGCCAAGCAAGCAGGGCTCCAAACATTTACACACGGTGACAAACTCACAATCAGTTTCATTGGAAACGACCAGTTACTTTGCAACTGAACAAGAAATCCTGTCATATGCACAAGAGGAACTGAGCCGCACGGGATAAACTGGCCACTAAGGACTTGGGATATATTTGTCTAGGTTACCCTTTGTGTCTATTAGGGGTGGTAGTTGCCTTTCGTTGTTGGCTGTGTTGATCTACGCTAAACATCATGTTTCTCGTGTTAAGGTTCAGATGGGTGTTTTGCTGGAACCCCTTGTAAACGGAACCCAACAAGAAAACCACCAATTTGGTGGTCCCCTAAAACTCTGTCGCGAGGAATACTCGCGGCTTCGAAGGCCTCAACTGACTTGAGTAGATTCGCCACGAACAAATCACCTGGCTTTTGGCTTACCAAAGGGTCCATTTTCCAAAAAGTCAGCACCTCGGCAAGTGAGGTCAAGAACCCTGTCCTTGGCAGCAAAAGGCTTGAAGTCAGGAAGCAGGCGAACCATGACGGCCTGCATGGATGGTAAGGCATCTGCTGTTCAAGCAGCAACTAAGACACGGCGAGCCCAAATGGCAGTTTGTTTGTTTTTTCACCGCAAGAAAAGAAGGGCAACCCCGGTAATGGTTGTGAAGAAGGAGCCATTCTGTGTTTCCAAAGCAAGATTGCCATGCCCATGACCACTTACACTTTAAACTTTAAACTTTAAAGGAGATTCCGTTGGCTGGGTTGCTCCAAGCAGGCCTGAGCAAAACGTCTAACCACGTGCTTCTGGTTTCAGCAGTAGTCCACAGTAGCACATCCTGCAATGGCCGGCACAACGGCCACAAGCACGTTAGGTGCGGGCGAAGCATCTTGAGATACTCACAGGGCCTTGAGCATCTTTCTTTCAGAGCTTGAAACCAGTTGCTGAAGGCTTTGTGGAATTCGCTTGTACACTTGACAGAGACAGCCCCCCTTTCGGTCGCTTTTGCTGCACATCCACTCGTAGGCCGTGGCGGATCTGAAGGATCTTGCGGGGTTGTGTCGAACATTGTTGAAGTTGACAAGTCAACATCTGAATCGGATGTTAGCTGGGACCCCCTCTTCTCTCTGCTGCCAGTCATGTTAAACAGATGCGTGGCTTCGTATTACTCACCTCCTGGTCCAAAAAGCTTCGTTGCCTACGCAGGACCGCACAGAATTCAAACGTGAAGGTTGCACGCAGGCTGACTTGTGCACCTTTGTTCAGGAACGCTCGATGATCACGGGCAGCCAGAAACTGTGGCTGACAAGGAGGCTTTGAAGGAGTTGCGGCGCAACTCCTTCCCCAAGCCCTCCGTCAGCCACCAGCGTTGACCTTGACACCACCTCCGGCTCTTCCTAGTCAAGCAATATCTTTCTTTTAGGGGAGCTCGCGGGACAAGAGAGTACAGTTAGCCCGGCGGTCCAGCTCAGATGCCTGAATTCTGCCGGCAACAGAAGGCGTGCTGGACATAAGAAATGCTCCTTACCTGTTACCCCACTTCCCCCTCCCAGCGCCGGTGATGAAACAACTCCCACTCATAGGTGCGGATGTCCGCCCTCTTGAACCGCGTAGACCCCTCCTGTTGGGCTTCCCTCGTTTTTGTTGTGACTCTACAAACATCGTACACCTTCTGCAGGTTTTAAGCGGCCTTACCTGGAGTCTTCATGACCCTTCCACAATGGGTCCATGAACACCATCACCCCTTTCTTTTGGATAATGACCGCATCTTGTTACAGAAGGTGCTTGTTGAGAGTCAACACAAGACTCCATGTGTATATACATATATAAATACATCCTGACCTCTATAATAGGTAAGCAAACACACAACTGATGGTTACCCGCTACAGCTTGGCTTGGATCCTCTCAGAAAAACCCAGACACCCCGCGCCGGCCCTCGGAAGCGGAACCACCAAAGGCCTCCTGCGCCGGCAGCGGCGGCACCACGTCCAAGTGGTCCCGCGCCAGGAACCGCGCGGAGTTCCCCGCCAGGCGGCACTGGTCGCCAGCGCGAGATCCAGGGGCGAAATCGGGGCGTTTCGGGTGGAGCAAGCAACCTCTCTCAACGTTGACCCAGACTTGATACGCACCGCATCCCACCCCGGAAAGGAACCAAGCGGCCGGATATCCGCACCATCCGAACCTATTTTTTTTGTATAATATATATATATATAATGTATATATGGCTGGCACTGTCCCTGACTAACGTTGAACCACCCACGCTTTGATTGTGATCCCCTTTGAAATGACGAAGCGGCAAACAGGAAGGACACGTGAAGAAAACATGAAGGAACATGATTAAGCGAGAGGCAAGAAGCTCTAACATATGCTGATGCTCAGAGAGAAGTGCTGCATCATGTTGATCATGGAACACATAATACAGGATATTCTACCTTGTACTTGCCAACCCTTCAAAACCCAGGAAGCTTGCTTTACTTCCTGTCTTATCTTGCTTAGGGAGCACCATGAGCTGGAGGATGCCGGATTCGTGGATTCACCCCATAGCTGTCGCGGTCAAAGTAGTTCTCAAAATAGGAACAATCAGCTGCCACCAAACCGCACATGGTCGCCCTTTTCCTGTTTCCCTAAGGGCTGTTTCTCAGCTGCACTTGGCAGTTCAACGGGACCACATCTTCTATCCTCATTGGGGGCCTGCTTGAGGTCCATCAACCCCCCGCGTAATATGGATGATGCTCTAAACACTGCCCCGACTGAGGTTGGAGGTGGGACCATCTTCAAGTCTAAACTTGGAAAGGGTGCTGACAAACATCACTTCTTGGCCCAGATCTGGGGTGCCCAAAAAGACACATATTTAGATTCTAAACCATATTTAACCTACCCTGAAATATCTTTAAAGCATGGTGCTTGTTCCCAGTAGGCTAGGACCCCTCTAACCGAAGGCCCTTCGGCTGTCAAACTCTCGCCTCCAAACTGCCGGCTGCGACTGTGAAGCCCATAGCGTCTTCCCACCTGGGATCTCCAGCTGGGTCAACCCACTCCCAGCTCAAAAGGATAACTCACTTCACAACCTATTCCTGGAAGCAAAGGGTTAAATTTCAGGGCCCATGACCACCATCAACCAATTCTAAAAAACAACAATTAACATGTTGGTTTTCGGCAACTGAGGCTAAGCTGCCAAATGTTGGCTTTCGGCCTGTCGCCCATGTGAGCCAGGTCAGGGTAAATAGGGCCTTGGAGTTGTCGGGTCTGGCCGGCTTCGCTTTTTGCAAGTGGGGAGAGACTCAAGAACCTGTTTGCCGAAGCTCCAATCATTTTGCCTCAGGAACCATAGAAGACTGAACTTCTTAGGCCCTTCACTGAAAATGGACAACCCGAAAGGGAACCAAACCCTATTACAATCGAAAAACACGCATGCAACCTCAAAGGGGCCCTTTGCAACATAGTTTCCCTCCAAAGCCCGCACTCTCTGCTTGACTCTGAGATCAAGCGGCTTCTCCAGGCTGTGCAGCCCAGGCTCCTGACACGGAGGGAGGGGCGAATCCTGGGGTTGTCTCAAAGGGAGACCAAAAAGAAATTATCCATTTTCCGGGGGTTTCTCTTTTTAATCCAAATCGAAGGGCACAAAATGGTTGGTCACTCCTTCTGCGACTCGGGTAAGCCTATGCCCCCTTTGGTTGCTATCTTCACCCCATAGGACCAAGAAAGTCGGACCCATCTGGTGTGTCTTTGTTTGAGCGTAGTAAGCTTTGTTTACGGCAAAGGGGAACCAATTGTTGGGTTGATGGCTTGGGAAGCCATACATGCAGCTAGTATCAGGTCCAAGCTGGGTCTGACTTTTGCGGTCACATATCCAGTCAGCCACCCTTCTCCAAAACGGTAGAACATGTCTGCCAGTCGATGACAAGAGCCAGGTTTGAGACTTTGTTTAGCCTAACTTCTCAAGCAAGTGCTATCCGAATTGAAACGGAGCTGTTCCTGCAACCACACCATCCCCCAACACAGCGCACTTCTTCAAGACTGATTTGGAGGCGTACCATAGGGTCACATTAGACATCCCTTCAAACTGCGCCTGTGCATAAAAACCAAAACATCTCAGAAAAGCTAAGAAAACATACCCAGCAATCAGCACTAGCACAACTCAGTGGACACAATATATTAATGGTCATTGACCCTTTGCTTGAAGATAAGCTGCTGAGGCGCGCCCCGATACAGTGTAGGGCTAACCTGCTGTTGCACGCCCGCCTTGGTGTCCAGAGTTTCAACTTGCCTGTACCAACTGGACAAAGCTGGGAAACATTGGCTGTGTGAAGACTTGTTCAGCCACCCTTGTCATCCAACCCAAAGCCACCATTTGTCGGCTTACACCCTCACAGAAAATATTGTGGACTTCATGCAGTCCAACTGTTCTCACAGCAAACATGAAAAAAAACGTCAACCAACCGCTAAAAAACAATCACAACAAGTCACAAACAAAAAGAGACACATATTATGGTTGCCAGTTACATTCATCTGAAATCTAGTTAACTAGACTCTGCCCGCTTTTCCTCATGCAACAAATCGCACGACCCGGATTTCATGCAGCCCGACTGTTCTCACACAAAACCACACACAAGTTGCAAAATGTGTCTTCCCACATTTCTCTGGCCATGCTCTCAATTTGATTCTTGTGGGATTTCTGTAGCGAAGCGCTTCCCGCAGTTTTCCCGCAGATTTCTCTGAAGATCATGGCAATGCTCCCAAGCTGACTTTTCTGGAATGGTTTAAAGGCGACAATCTTTGGGGAGGTCCCCTAGAAGCAGACACACTGAAACTTTGCCAACGTCAAGACACAAACAAAACACAGCGGAGGAGACTCGACCTCCACAGGCTCCGGGACTTTCTCGATGCTGGGCAGGCTCATCACGTCGTCACCTGAAGCCCAACAAAATCGGCCGTCACTGGATTTCCACGCGGAATCCATTGAACTTGCCACTTTAATCAGAAAATGATATAGTTGACAGTGTTTCACGGATTGTCAAAACATATGTCAGTGTTCTGGTTTGGAGACCCTGGAAAGATGCTTCTCACGTCAGTGAATGGGCCAAAAAGGTTCAAGCTGTTTGGCTGAAAACCCCGCGAAGTCCCGAGTCCCCCTTCAAACCCTTCCCAAATTGAAAGGTTTGGAAGGAACCTGACTTTCTCCTCCATCTGCTTAAGTCCCCTGGAAAAAATGTCCAGTAGTCCCCCTTTAAACGTTAAACCAACAAGACAGAACAACTTGCTGAACCGTTAGCTCTATGATGCAGAAAGCTTCCATGGCAGATCAACAGAAGACAACAAACAAGCTACTTCACGAGATGTTAGCGAACATTGAACAACAAAAAAACCAGTCTACCATCACCTTTCAACTTTTGCTTCGACAGGGGCAGTTCTTGGGGCCTTTCAGACCCTGCCAAGGGTCCGTTGGTTGGGAGACGAAGCAATTCGACTTACTTGCCGCCTCTTTTATGGAAGTTGACCTTTTGGGGGCTTCCCCAAAAGGATGATCTTCCAAAACCAGAAATCGTCCACTTCCACGTTGGAAAGAGGGTAGGTCCTTAACACAGGTGGAGCCTTTTGCAAATTAAGTTCAATGCACAAGCCATTTACTTTGTTTCCAACACGTCGCCAGGGCGGCTCGGTCAAAGTGCCTTAACGACCAGCCAAGAAAATTGAACTCAAACTTGGGCTGCGCCTGTTGGCGCAGGTCGCTCCACATTAAAGTCCACATGGCCGACCTTGCGCAAAGGCGCGGCGCACTGATTCGACTTCGCACAATGACAACTCAGAGTTTTGGAGGTCGGGGTGCAAAAGAAACACCGCGCAAATCGTGTTTTCGGGATTTGTTCAGGGTTTGGGCACGTCCGAGAATTAGGGATGATTTTGTTGCGAAATCCCTGGAAGTGGTTGAATTCGTCCAAACGACAAAAGGCTTCACTTTGGCTTCCCCTAAAAAAGGTAACTCTCAAACGACACATTCATTCATGTATCAACTGTCGAGTGCAGGAACTGGGACACTAACAAATATAGGCCCCACCCACAGGCCCTGCCGCTCGCAAACCAACCCACGGCCCGTTCTTTCTCCGCACTCCGAAAGCCGCGTCTCTCTGACTCTCTCTTGCTGGAATCGCTCGCAACTCACTTGCGGCCTCAGCAAGCCAGAGGCCAGAGGCCCAACAACGTGCTCACCTCACTTCCGGGGATTGGCCCAAGGTCTGAACTTGTTGTTGACGGTCCAAACCCAAACTGTGTAAAGTCTACCTGGAGTCTCCCTCTCACCCTTAAACACATTGGTAAAGGGGTCATGCCGCCATTCTTGAAGGCATGCACAGACTGGGTGTCAAGTCAGCCAGGTGTAGCCCAGCTCCAACATGTTGCTGACAGTGCCACCAGGCGACGCAAAAACAGGCGCAAACTTTCTCGGATTGCCTGTCATTTTGAAAGGGGGGCCAGGGAAACACGCTCATCCCCGAGAAGATTCGTAACCTTGAGGAAAACTTGGACATTCTGAATAGCAAAATCAAATAAAGGTCAAGCCATGTTTGGAGTAAGGTGCTTTCCCGAACAAGGGGTCTGTTCAGAGGATGGGAATGGTAGTTCTCCAAAACCCCTCTGTGCACTTGCATGATGGAAAGAGGGCAGGCCCTGTTATTCTCAGTTTGAATTCACTGCTTGCATCTGTTCGCGCGTGTCACTGCCAGTCAAGTCACCAAGAGTATGCAAATTGTGTCCTATAGCTGAATCTAGCTGGCCTTCCCCCTCTAAGCAAAACACAGAACCTTGTGGAGGCACAATGGGAGCTCCAGCATTTCCAAAAGGGTCCCGCAACTGCTCTCCCTCAAAACCGCTCCGAATCGAGAAGGCTTTGTGCAGGCTGTTGGCCGAATGGCTCTTTTTTCTTGGGGGGGTTCGGGTCGTTTGGTGATGCCTCGAAAAGATTTAAGATCCACAAAAAGTGGGGAATTCAAACTGGGTTTGTTTTAGGCATATGAGGGTCCGTGTATGGAGTTGTCTCGAAAGGAAAACGCAACCTACAATTGCAAGAGACATTCTGTATATGAAATATTGCTACGATATTTGTGCGCCATGTTTTTGCAAGGCGGCCCGCAGGAAATTCGAAGGACCTAACCATAGTTCATGTAGGTGCATGTTCGCATGGGCACGACATCCAGAACGACCTCTGAAACGAGATGAACTGCCACATTGGAACAACACATGAACGGAAGCAAATTGATACAAAGCTTCCGCCTACGCTTGTGTGATGGCGCTCGCTTGGTGGCGGTGCCGTCGACTATTTTGCTGCACCGCCTCATTCAGCAGTGAAGTGTATCCACTCAATTCACATGCGGCTGTGTTCTTGCTAGGTTTCTAGGATGCTGCCTTACACACAGCAGTCAGCATGGAATACTTGTTGACATCAATCGATTGACTCGGATTTCCTTATGCACTTTGGTGAAAGTACGAGTGATGTTTCGATTTGGAAGCTTGGGACCTCTTTTGATGGCCCCCTGATAGGATGGATGCCTGAAAATGATTCATTTGGTGAATCCCCTTGAGAGCAAAGGGGTTCAAACGCGCAAAAGCCCAACTAACTTTGCATCCAAAGGACACATTCATTGGCGGAATCCGCACAGGGGTAAGCTACACACACGATCACAATGATTGTCCTCTGGTGCAAGTGCAACAAATTGACTTATTCTGTCGTGGGAATTACGCATTCACCCCCACAAAAAGAACAACGCATAGGATGGGAACCTGGATGATTAACCCCCCGGTTGATTAACAGGGGAGTTGCCAGGTTTTAGTCGTGGTTCATCACTTTTGGAGGGGAACACGTGAATCTGGGGTCAACAGTCCGCTTACATGGGTGTCTTTTTGAGTTCAGTGGTTTCTGAGGGAAACCCACCCTTTTTGGGGGACCCCTAAAAAAGACAGGCCCACAGGGGTCACCCACATGCACACAAGCTAAGATGTGGCGCTGTGGCCCTGGGGCCTCCCCGCCAATTTGCATGCCCGTGAGCGTGGTGTTGGAGGTGGCGATGTTCGGCAGACGGTCCATCTCCAACTCCTCGCAAATTTGATCCAAGCGCGTTTTGTTGGTCAACGTTCCACCCCAAACCTGGGAGTTAAGTACCTGGAGTCTCCTTCTGACCTGAATCAGACACGGGGTCATTACCCCTCAACGTTGGATCATGACCCCATTTTCTAAGGGTCATGGAGACTCCAGGTACTTTTGTTGCTCACAATTGTCTCAGTGCACCAAAAGCACCGGGGCAACAGAGTTGCAGTCAAGGGCAGAGATGGAAGAATTTTACCGGAGTTGCCCTAAACCTAACCTGACATTTTGGGAGCCTCTAGATCCTACCCAGTGCTTCCAGTTGCCATTTAAGCAGGGAACCACCACAAACATGGACAGTAGCTTACCTCTGTAGGTTTTACATCATGGATTTGCCTGGTTACCTAAAATGGTAGGTCAAATCACTGGGCTATACCCCATTCAAAAACTCAGTCATGGACGGACCACATGCTTCCCAAAGGATCTTTTGGAGCTAAGAAACCGGGCGAGAAATCAAGGGAGTCAGGGGTTGGGTTGCTTGCATTGAAGGAGAAGCGTACCAGGAGATTCCTATGACAGTGGCTTTGGGGGTTGGCACTGCTGAAGTCGTGTGGATCCTTGGCAATGGCTGTCAAGCTTCCTGGCTCCATGAGCCTTCCAAGGTCTAACGGAAACTGGTTTTGTGTGGGACAAGAGCTACTGTGGATGGACGAAATCCTGCAGCACTTTGAAACCATGGGAAACCATTGTTTGTTGGTATGTACAGAGGAATCATCATTCCAGGGTTTCTTAGGTGCTGCAGGATTTCGTCCATCCACAGTAGTTCCCCCACGTCCGTTTCTCCCTAGTGGACCATAGACACATCAGGATCTCTTGCTCGACCAAACCTCATATGCCGAATTGAACTTGAAGAGTTGGAATGCGAGCCAAGGTGGCCGGTGGACGTTTTTATCCCCAACTTGCCCACCAAAGGGTCCTAATGCCGAAGACCTTCAGTGGGGGGTTAAGAGGGGCCTCCAGAATCACCCAAAGTGGTGCTCCCTCCGAGCTGCACAAGGTTAGGTCGTGATTGACCCTTTGTATGGAAAAGCCATTGGTTTCACCCGAGGGGACCCCCTCCTTGAGGGAACAAATGACAAAAACACATAAAACACACGTAAGCCATGCGACGAGCGGATCTGCGTCTCAGTTGCCCGGTTTGGACCTGGAAACAAAAAGGTGATTGCGTTTTGGCGACAAATGTGGAAGGGCCACAAACAAAGATCACGTTCCTCCTTTTGCCCACTTGAGTGTCACACCTGCCCGAACCTAACGTCAATTTGCCGACCAACAGCTGATATTCAACATGGAAATCCAGAGGGAGACCTGAAAAACGGCCATCCACATGGCTATAGACGTGGTCACGCACCATGAACAGGCTGCTGGGTGGTTTAGTTTCCCCTTGCATCATCAAGCCATTTGGCGTCTTGCAGGGCTCCTATCCCCCAACCCCCCTCTCCCCACTCGAAAGCAAAACGGAGTCGACTTTCAGGTATTGTTGTGTGAAGCCCTTTCTGTCATACCAAGTTGGACCAGCCTGACTACCTCGTCACTTGAAGGCAGATTCCCTTATCACGGTGCTGACGCCTTGATTTCAAGGGCCCAACAAACAAGAACCAAGCATCTGGAGAAATGGGAGCGTCTCAAAACAGGGCACCAGAACTAACCAGTACTGCCTTAACTTAGCCAACGAGTCAGACAAGGGCTCCCTATTTGAACACAAACGCCCATTTCTGCAAACCAATCGCCCCGAATCGCCTTGAGCATATCCCGGGTGTCCGGATCCACCTGGATGAAGTCGGTGTTCACCTGAACGGAAGCAACGCGCCTCCCAATGGTTTCCCGTTGCTTCCAAATTTGGCTTTGTCTGGTGTTCTGTTTTTCCATAAACATCATCCAGCAAAAGGGTACCCTCAAAAATCGACCTTGTAAGAAACAACACGGGGCGGCTCATGCTTGCATAGATGTCAAAATAGGGATTTGGACAAAAACAATGGATTGTGGTACCCTCAACACACACACACACCCAAATCAGCTTTAAGGTGGGTTGGAGGTCTTGAGGCTGTATACCGCATACATTTTACTTATTGTCAACCTCCACATTTCTAAACCACACGCCTGAACATGCCCTTGAATTGACTAAACCACTATATGGGACATGGGAAGGTAAGTGTGATGCAGCTTTTGTGGATCCACTTAATGTTTTTGAAACCGCTAAAACAAGGACTACAAAACGCACCCACACCAGCCAGTCAGGTACCCTTTGTTGGTGGCTTGGATTGGTGGTAGTTGGTCTCATAACTAGGGACCCCCCAAAATGGTTGATGTCCTTTTGGTTTCCCTTTAACACCCTCCAAAAGGGCTCTCCCAAAAGAGACGAGCCCAATTGAATCTGAAGCCGTGAAGCTTGTAGAGTTGGGAGACAATAAAATAGATCCAAAGCGTTTAGAGGTGTGCAGCCCTGTTTTGGATTCTTGGCCTGTATGGACTCTGCTTTGGCTGTAACAATGATCTACCATTGGACCCTTCAGAGGCCTATGTGATCCTTGGCCCACCCGCAGAGTACACCATAAACAAATGATTGCTAGATGATGGTTCATATTTCGTCACCCAACCAGTTTTCAAAGGGACACCCCTCCAATCACTGCTTTTGGGACAGTACTTGGGATTCTGGATTCTGGACACGGAAAAAGCAGTGTGTGGGGAGCTGGGGGGGGGGGGTGGCGGTAGCAGAACCTCCTTCTTAATCTGACGTGAATGTTCAACGGGAGCTCTCTCTTTTTCGCAGCCTTCGAGCCTGTCCAAACAATAAGGAACCCGCAGCGGACTCGTCTGAAGCCTAAAGCCTACAAACCAAGCATCCTTGTTCAGGTAATCCTTGGTTGTTTGGATCGCGTTTTTGTAGAGGTTGATGGACAATCACTCCCTAACCTCCGCCAATCCAAGACACCAGTTGGAGGGAAGTTGGCCTTTGAAGCTTTTTGCCGAAGAAAACCAAAGAAACCCAAAAAGGGGCGTCAAGGCAGAAAGGTTCAACCCACTTTGGCCTTCCCAACAAACGACTCACTCCACTGGCCGGTGATTGAACACTTCCCAAATTGTGCTCCTTTGCGATCCTTTGTTTCAGGGTACCACAACCCTTTTTTGGTTTTAGAGCAAAGCCCAAAGGAAAACCACTATCGGTAGGTGGGCAAGTGGTCATGCATGTCCTGCTTTGTGATCCGTCCAACCAAAAACAAAAGACCTCAAGTCCAGAACTCGGGAAGTAAAGCGCGGGTGTAACAAAAATAGAATGAGCTTGTATAAAAACTGTCACTAAGTATTGCTTTGGTTCAAATTCAAAACCGATGGTTCTGGGGTACTTCAAAACCATCGGGATCTTTAACAACAATTCTATTGAACATGGAGATTCTCCCGGACCCTGTGGAGAACCCCGCCCCGCAAAAAGCCTTTCCGGGGGCGCCTTTTATTAGGGCTGCCCACAAATTGTGGCTTTCCTGTTGGTCTTCCCTTGAAACCACACAAACAAGTACTGAGCCTCAAAAAACCTACACAAGTAATGCCAGATTGTAAGGTCGGCTAAATATAAAACCCTCACCTCCAGTCATGTCTTTTCAGTCTGGGGGGGCGGGGGCAAAAATTGTCAACGACCAAGACCCTCTTTTTGGAGGCCCAAAACCAGTCAATCCAACACGCGGTGTCCTATGGGCGTGCGCCTCGGAGCGGTCCGGCACGAACTCCATGCGCCGCTCGCGCTCCTCATCCGAACGGAGGGGGCGCGAATTCTGTGGGCTCTGCTGGGTTTCTTTCGGGGTCAGCCGGAATAAGTCATTTCGGTTTTTAGATCAAACTCAATTTTAACAGCAAAACAAACAAAAGCAATGCATATTGTATAAGGAAAACCCTCATGTAAGTTCCCACGGTGGTTGGAACAGGGTGGACCTGGAAAACATGGTTGGAAGGCCACTATTGTTGACCTCCTTTTGGACTCCCTAAGAGCGCCGTGTTGTCCCTTTATGAATCAGTGACCCACATCAAGGGGAAAATGTGGAAAGGAAAGGGAAGGACCCACCTCAAGCCTAATCCCACTCTAACCCTACAAGGTTCATGTCAATCCTCCATCGCAGGTCATTCGGCGCGAGTCCCGAGCATTGAGGCTTAGGCCGTCATCCAGTCGCACGTCATGTTGTCAACAGCATACATATCTTAGGTTGCCTCTTTGAACACCATCCAAAGGGGGACCCTTTTTTGTGGAAACCAGGGCAAACTTCAGTGTTCAATAGCGACACTGGTCCCTTGGGCTCCCTTGAAACCAATCCTACACAAATACAACTGCTACTGCTCCTGCTGCTGCTACTGCGACTGCTACTGCTACTGCTACTGCTACTGCTGCTTCTACTACTACCACTACCTGCTGCTGCTAATACTACCAATTCGACTACCACTACTACTGCCACGACAACGACCACCACCACCACCACCACCACCACCACCACCACCACCACCACCACCACCACGGCTGCTGCTGCTGCTGCTGCTGCTCCAACTCAATGTGAGGACCCACACAAAAGTCCACTGCGGTTTCGTCCTCCTCCTGCAGCTTCAAGGAGATACCGCGCACAGGGCCCTTCCTGAGATCGGGGGGAGAGTGTCCGACCAAAATCATGGAAGGAATCGAACACTAAAATAACTAACAAACATATTTTAATTAGGGAACCTTAAAAGTGGCTGGCGGACATGAATCCCACTTAAATGACGTCCACCAAAGGGTCCCCTATTTAAATTCACATGCACATCATGGGATTCCACCCACGCCCCCGACCCAACCCCTCCAATTGTTTCTGAAAAACACCCTAAGGTCGTATGAAGGAACCTTTGGAAGAAACCAGCGGGTCCGATCTACACGGCTTCAAGCCCAAGTTCATCTACCTAGAGTCTCCAGATCTGACCCGAATCAAAAATGGGGTCAACCCTTAATCTTGGGTAACCCCATCTTTTTGACGGTGAGAAGTAGACCTCAGGGGGAAACCATGAGCTTTCGGTTTCATGTGAATTCTATTTTTATGGCTGTCACAGCCCGAGAAAATAAGTGGACCCCTAAGTGCATGGGCCAAAAGAATGCAATCTTTTGGTTGGCCACTAAAATTGACCAAACCCCAAAAGTATAAAGTCCGGCAACTCAGGGAGTGAGAATCAATTCAATTTCAACAAGCCTGCCAACAGAAAGCACTTCTAGGACATCGGAGATCAATCTCTTTCGACCTCGACCTGGGTGTTGCAACGGAACGGGTTAGGAAGTACAAGCTCACTTGACTGGATGGCTAAGTCTAGTCCACGAATTTGCCGCTTGCCACTAAAACGATCAGTAAAGTACAGGAACGTTGTGAATCCAAAGTGCGGAACTCTTGGCGCGCATATGGGATCTACGGAACAGAATATGTTCAGATTCTACTTCATATTTTCTCTACCGGGACACCCCTTTCTTCGGGTAGCCGCATTTACGGAGACTCCAGGTACCCCAAATGTTGACTGGGCCCCAGAAATGGGCCGCCCAACTGGCCGGAAGCCGCTCTCCGGTTTGGTCCGAGGCGCTGGATGCGCTTCATGAGGTGCGTGGTGAAGCCCGCGATCTTGTTCCGCAGGCGTTTGGAAGGGATGGTCGCCACCTCCTGTCGAAAGGCAGAGCAAACCCAAGAACCTGAAGGATGCCTGGTTTGCTCCCTCCCAATTCAGCCAGAGATTGTTTAATCCGAACATTCGAAAGGGTCCCTTCTTGGATGTTCAATTTATGAGGCTGCATTTGGCTTTTGCCCTGGCCTTGGGGAGGTTCTGGGATGAGTGTCACAACGAAACAGAAAGGGGAAACCCCGAACCCCAGTGGATTTCCCATGCAAAAGAAATGGCACCCTTTTTCTATTGGTGGATTTTTAAAGGGAAACCCCTCGAAGAAAAGAAAAACAGGGCACCACCTTTTTTTTGCGAGTCTGCTTTTGAAGAGAAACTTCTTCAAACAAGAAGTTGAACAATGTTGCACCCGATTTAACATCGACAGTCTGAATTACTCCCAAAACAGTCCTGCAAAGAGGGTTGCGCACAAGGGGTCCTGATCATCTTTAAGGGGGCACTGTTTGGGTACCATGTTTACTGTCCATCAAGTCTTGGGGGAAGTGCTGGCAATACTAAACTAAGTCTAAGTAGTGGCAACCAAAAAGGAAGTGCTGGCAATACCAAACCGAGTAGTGGCAACCCAAAAGGATGTGCTGGCAATACTAAACTATGTAGTGGCAATCCAAAAGGAAGTGCTGGCAATACTAAACCAAGTAGTGGCAACCCAAAAGGAAGTGCTGGCAATACTAAACTAAGTAGTGGCAATACTAAAGCAATACTTAACTCATCCCAGATCCTTATTCAGGATCCCCAAGCAATGTTTTGACTGTTTGAGGGGGGGGGGGGAAGGAGGGGGGCCCCACAGTAAACAAGGTCCCACATCACACATCGCAACCGACTCTGGGGGTCTGGGCATACCACCAGTGAGCCCAACTACGTTGCCGACAAAATGATTCATGCAAGCAAGCTACTGGACGGCCAAACATGCGTTGCGAAAAAAGCGGTTGGAACATCGAGCTGTCCTTGTGCAAAGAGTCCCGCGAAAGACCCAAACACACAACTCAGTTGCCTAAATGACCTGGAAACACCGTACAGCTAAAGCTTTTGGGGTCATGAACAAAAAATGGACCAACACGGGAAAACTAGAAGGTCAAACAGTCGATTCGCTGGCAACTGAGCTAAGCAGATTTGGAACCCGCATTGAAGGGGTTGGACATCAAACGGCCCAGTCTGAGATACGCGGTACAAAGATTCGGGAAGTGGCACCAATGGGATAGAACCACGAGAACTCGAGGACTGGGTTTTGAGTGAAAACCTTTTATAGGTGATGCCTAGCAACCAACAATTGCTTTGTCAAAGAGCTTCGACAAGCTTAAGCCTCAGTTCACACAAGCTCTTGGCTCCCTTCACACACAATTGTCTGATTGCTCAAACCAATGCAACAAACCCTGATCCCCGCTGAAACTCTAAACTACATTGGGTACCCCCCTATCAGTCAACCAGAAGGTTATTGCTTCCCCGTTCCCATTGGTGGAAACCCTGGATGCATCTCACGTGGTTTCTCATCGATCAAGCAGAACCAGAGCTTCGAATCCAAATCCAAATCCAAACAAAACCATCAAAAGCCCGGGGCCCGTACCTGACCTCATTGGGCTAAATCATTCGCAGTTTTCTTTTGTGCGATCCTCGGTGATCTTCTTGTTCACCTGGAAGTCCAGGGTCAGCTTGCCATAGTACTTCTCCACGATCACACGCGCCGCCTGCGCCAATCCCAAAACAAAAACAGACAGAGAGAGAGAGAGAGTGAGAGAGAAAGACAAGGGCTACTGCAGTTCCCCCTCAAAAGTGATAATCAACTTGTGGTTTCCATTGAGATCGCCCCTTTTGGAGGTTCCAACAAGGGAAATGGAGGACACCCTGAGAGAGAGAAGGTGAGAAAACGAGAGAGTGACGTCCACCAGGAATGGGCCACAACTCCAAGGCTGAAGAAAACTGGCAACCCAAAAGACGGGGTTCCAAGAACTGCTTTTTCCCATGTCCAACTTCCCAAGCTCACCATAATCCCGCAGTGGTTCGGAGCAGGGTGCCAGACTTCCATTCTGCAATCCCGTCCGAGAGGCCACAAACACTGGGTACGTACCACTTCTCAGTTGCCCAAAACCCCTGGAACAAAAGGTTAACCTTTTGAGGCCACTAAAGACGGACCGAACATGGTCCACTAAAAGGTCCGATCCGCTCGATTCGCTTTGGGCAAGTGAGACTTCGAGGCAACAAAACCCACGGCGATCAAATATGCATCCCACTTGTTGGGTGAAGCCAGGAAGCTGGTAGGTATGTCACAAGAGAAATACCCATTTTAAGGCTCATTCGATCGTGGCTTCAAATAACTTAAACCGAAGATACCAAGAGAGAACCAAGATATGGAATCAGTAGCTTATTTAGTGGCCTTAAACTGTAGTGTCAATCAAACCATCCAACACCACACAGCAGGCAATTAATTAGCAGTTGTGACCATAGATTGCAACCCTTCTTTGGACCCCCGTTTCTTCTTGAACAAGAAAATAAAACAAACCGCCTCTCTGCAACCGGCCGAGCGCAGAAGGTGCCACCCACCCTGTGTCTGCTGAAGCCACTACCAGCTGCTATTCAACAAACCGGGAAGGTGGAGAAAGCCCGCAGTTTGGCCTTCAATTCACGATGGCTTGCTTGAAGCCTGGAAGTGCATGGGTCAGACAGTGCTAGCAGCTAGTAGCAGTACCCTCAAAGCAACGCACGCCCAGTCGCCTTCTTCACCGTCTTGGTACGCACGCGGCCCATTGCTTTGATTCGAGAGTGAGACACGGACGGATCGAGCCTTTGAAGTCCACGGCCAATCCGGCGAGACGAACTGGTTTCGGAGGCCCGGCCTTGTTTGCTCTTATTTAGCCGAGGGATGTCCAAATTAGGGACCCTTTTTGGTATCGCCTTTAAAGCGACACAAGGCGGCAATAGGGTCCGAAAAGGGCCACACTTTTGACATTTGGCCTTATGTGACCTTGGCTTAGTTGGCCTTACGTTGCCTTATCTTGGCAAGTGGTCTGTAGGGCACCGGCACTCGTCCTTGCAATGCCACTAGAAACAGAGATGAAAGATCACCCTTCTGATTTTGTGGGTCCGGTGAATCTCATGACTTTCAAAAATACGGATGGAGCCCTTCCAACTTCCAACTGTCCGTCTAATCCATGGCTTTTCACCTAGAGGCTTTGCCAGGACAATAGATGCTCTCCCCTGGTGACCTACTGTAGTGGCTTGACTGGGTCAGGTACCCCTTAATTTGTGAAGGTACCCGTCCTCAACGTCGGAACCACGAAGCCCCGGTCCAGTTGTCGCGTATGGAACTTGTTGCAGTAACACCTCAAGAAACCTTCAACGCATTTCTGTCCTTGTGCGAAACAATACGTTCTGCATCGACACACCCGGCTTTTGAGGCCAGTGCCGACACATCCGCTGGAACCAACATGGAGTCCTGTTCGACTCGGCTCAGCTCGATTTCTCTCGTGGAACATTGGGTTTTTTGCGGACTGGGATCCAACCTCCCCCCCACATCCCCCTATTTTCATCCAGGACTCAACAAAGCGCTTTTTGTGGCGTGACGTTCGGTAAACATGGTGAGACTTAAGGGGGGCTGAAGGGCGGGGGTTGGATAGTTTGAAGCTTCGGTCGAACTGACTCCGATGCATGTTATGCCAGTTGGCAACACTGAAAGCTCGGTTGAATACTGATTGATTGCCTTACTTGAAACAAAGTTCAAACTGTTGGTTTGCCACAAAATGTGTCTTTCTTGAGGGTAATGTTGGCACCCGATTAGTAATGGGTGGGATAGTCAATAATGCAAAGTGTTTTCCTTATTGTGGTTCGCCCCCATTGTTGATGGGGACCAGAATAGTTGAATGTTTTTTTTTCCTTCAGGGAGCACATTAGTTGCAAGCCCCCAGCCCCCTCCAGAAAATAAACTGTCAGTTGCTTTACTCAAAGGCAATCCCCTTTTAATTGGCGGCCCACTTATTTAAAGCATTCCCCTTGGCCCACTTGCTTAAAAGCATTCCCCTTTTAATTGGTTGCTCAAACACAAAACCCAAAGCCAGCTGAAACCTCTGAAAATTGAAAACCATCCCCAGCCCTGAAACTGCAAATTATTTATTAAACCGTGTTAAACAAAAAAAAACAGGACAAGGGTACCCCTCACAGACCCCACTGAACCACAACAATGGCATTCACATTAGTTGCAAGCCCCCAGCCCCCTCCAGAAAATAGACTGTCAGTTGCTTTACTCAAAGGCATTCCCCTTTTAATTGGTGGCCCACTTACTTTAAAGCATTCCCCTTGGCCCACTTGCTTAAAGCCCTCCCTGGCTGAACGGCACACCCTTTGAATGGCTACTAGCGTAATTAGTATTCCAACAAGTTTGCTCAGGAAACTAAAGTAGAATTCCAAAAAGGAAGTGGCTGCAATACTAAAGTAGGATTGGGCCCCAAAATCCTCCATTGTTTGGACGTCCCAAAAGTGAGCCTACAGAATTCTAGTGCCTCCATTGTTGAGGGGGGGGCCCTTTATTAATCAAGTTCCAACATTACCATGTTTTGAGTTGTCATAGAGGGAAGCAGAAGGAAAACCACTCACATTTTGGGTCCCCTATGTGAAGACAAACCCAAGTATTATTCCCAACCAATGGCTAAAGTCCAGGAACTCAGGAATCAAGTTGCAGGGTTCCAGGCATGGTGTTCCATTTGGTTCTTTACAAGATTGCATGACGCGGTGGTCCGATGTTCGTTGTCCAAGGTTGCATAACATGGTTTTCCGTTTTGTTTGTTATATAAAGCGTTCGCAAAAAGTTGACTTCAGTCACACCAAAGAGCAACCATGTAATATGTCAAATCGACGCTGGGCTGCCTTGTTCAAGGATCTGTTCAGGCATGCGATTTGGAGCATGGGTACAGCGCCCTATCCAGCGGCAAAGCATGGATCTGCACGGTGGAACCGCTTGCAAAATGTGCTGATGAATGTTGTTGTGGTGACCACGGGGAAATCACGCTCGCAATTGTTTAGCATTTAGCCCCTTTATGCTACCTGGAAGATCGAGTTCCTCGCGGATCCCTACCTCGGCTTTGCCTTTCTCAAACCTCTTGAAAATCTGGCAACCCTGTGCAAAGGCCATGCAGTCCTGGAATGTTCTTGGTGGTAGGACAAGTCTGAGAAAGGAAAGGGCCTGGTCACGGCATGATGTTGAGACAACGACTTTTCTAGCCTCTGACTGCTTTAACTTCCGTTCAACCCCTCTATCCTCCAACTTCTGCAGCCTGTAACTTGTCTACCATTTAGCATATCTGATGTCTAGCTTATCTAACCTCTGAATTATCTATGCTGCAACTTAACCTCGCGTTGTGTCTAACCTCTAGCTTATTTGGCCTTTAGGTGCGAAGTGGATGGCGTCTATCCACGGTATGTCCCCTTTATCACTCCACGACAAGAAAGCTCAATTGAAATTGCTTGGTTTTGGTGGAAAAAATGCAGGTAGTTCCCCATGTCCCTCCCAAATGGGCCATAGAATGCCGGATCTGTCACCAAACTTCCAATCTTTCAACAATGATTGTCAAAACAAAAACAACTGTGAGTGGCTTGATGCACCAACACTTGATCCTGTTGCTTTCCTCCACTCAAAGAGGGCTATGTTGCCTCCCGAAATGAAGGAATGCTCTTGGACGGGGTATCGCCCGGTGTCTTTCCTGTACCCTTTCGAGGCTCGGGACACAAAGTGAAGCCACCCAGTCTGTGAGTTTCGAGTTTCCTTTTCTTTCTCAAACAAACCAAACCCATCCAAACCCTGTACTTGCACCATGTGTTGGCCCCATTACTATGAGACACACCCCGTGAAAACATCCTCCAACCAACCGATATTAACCTTCAACTGGCCACAACAATGATGTTGAGACCCAAGCAAAGGTAATGCAACTGGACTTAGCCAAGTGTTAACCCACATCTCTCTGCCAAAACGACCCTCGGGGTCCTTGCTCGGCTCCCACTCCATCTGCACATAGCCCCACACCGAGATGCCCAAAGATGACTCCTCCGGGTAGGGCTTGCCGAGGCCCCAAAGGCGGCTCGAACTTTACAAGGGGTTCGCGCAGTAGCCGCCTCCGCCAAAATGCTGCTTTCTTTCGGCCT